TGAAATACTGGAAATTACCTGTCAAAGCACAGGAGTTTGGTTGGACAAACTATAGCACATATACACAATGAAGTACTATGCAGCTTTTAAAATGTATAAGGAAGTATACATATACATTTGCTTATCTTTGGATTAACACATAAAGCATGAACCCCAAAACAATGAAGTTGGTTACCTACAAGGAGTGTGGGAAAATGGGGTGGGGAAGACAAAGAAGAAAGTGACAGGAGTATACCTTTCTGTATGGTTTTTACTTTTGAAAATATGTTAATATCTTCTACATATTAAAAAAAAATAAGTAAGAATAGAAAAATGGGGCTAAAACTGAAATTAAATGTAAACAAATAAACCCAACTAAATTTCAAATGGAAAACACAATGATACTGAAGAGAAACTACAACAAAACTTATCTATAAGTCAGCCATCATCCCTCCCTGAGGGAACTATAAATCACCTAGTTCTTTGTTCTAAAGTTACATTACAGAGATGGATCATAATTCAGGTATTCTTTTCGGGTAATGGTGGTATATGCATTATATGTAGGCATAGGCATTTAAAAATTGTACATATGGGAAGGACACTGAGTAGCCAAAAGGAGAATCGGAAATTTAGTTTGCTATCCACCACCTATTTGCCCTTATTCTGGTTACAATGCATTACTTTCCTTCAGAGGGATCACCCCTTTCCCCCCTTTCAATTATTTCTTACAGAGTTGACTCAACCCCGAGGAGCTACACATGAGAGGGGAGGTAAAGTTTTGACCTGCTATTTCCATCTTGCCATTGTAATGCCTGAGAATGGGCCAGCCAAATTGAAAACAGATCTGAGAGATGGAGAAGAAAATTTTGACTAAGATATGAATCCGCCAGTAATCCCCTATGCTTTTTAAACCAGTTCAGCTATGGAACTAGTACTTGCAATCAAAAAATATCCTAATGGATTTGTTGCAAAATCATGGTTAAAGACATTATCCAGTTCCATGCCCCTTGTATAAGGTTCTTCTTTGTTAAATGCTTTAAAAATCTTAATATCAGCAAAAAGTATCTGTTGAAGAATTAGCATTCTTCCTCTCACATAATTATGTAACCTGCTAAATTTCTCTTCTTGCCTTTCCTGTCAGGAAGCTCAGAGTTAAATTAATGTTCAAGTAAATTCCTTATTATCCCTGGCTCTTGGCATACTTTTTGTTTTTCCTTTAATTTTCATGATTTTATGTTTCACTTTAGCATCCTTATTGTATATAAGGCTGTTACCATAAACAACTTTGAATCTCTTTTAGAAAGAGAATAAAATCAGCGTCTGGCACAGAAACAGAATACACATTTGTTCAGTTAAAAAAAAAAATGCATCTATTAGCAAAGTATTTCTGTCAGAAATGGAACAATCAGAGATGTCACATATGGTGGTATACTTTACAATACTTTCTTTAAAAAAAAAAAAAAGTGTAGATCACCGTACCTACATTCGGAAAATATACCAAATGTATCTGAGAGTCTTAAAGCAAAAGGAAAGAAAAAGGCAAAACCTGGGTTCTAACCTATGCTTAGGCATGGAGGTGGGCCAGAGGGATGAGGAAATAACAGACCTACAAATAGGTTGTTTTGTGCTTGGGTAGAGTAGGTTCTAGTTCTAGAAGAAGCCAATAGTAAAAGAATGTAAACTCCATCTTCAGAAATATGTCCTCAGCAGTTTCAATCTGTTTGTTCAAGAGGACACGTGAGGAATCATGGGAGAAGCAAATTGTGGTCTGATACTTCTATCTCTCACTTTGAGGTACTTTGAGGGTACCTCAAAGTTAACCATCCTGGCTAATGTGGTGAAAACCCGTCTCCACTAAAAAATACAAATAAATAAATAAATAAATAAATACATAAATAAATAATTAGCCGGGCGTGGTGGCGGGCGCTTGTAGTCCCAGCTACTCAGGAGGCTGAAGCAGGACGATGTGAACCCGGGAGGCAGAACTTGTAGTGAGCCAAGATCGCGCCACTGCACTCCAGCCTGGGCGGCAGAGCGAGACTCCATCTCAAAAAAAAAAAAAAAAGAAAAAACAAAAAAAGAAAAAACAAAAAAAAAACCCTGTATCATGTTTAGTTTGGTAAGCCTAAATTATTTAAGGGTCTGATTGACCAAAAAATTGCATTACCTATTTTGGTAGCTAATGCTTAAAACTGCAGAATGTAGTAATACTTTTGTAAGAATAAGTTTCTTAAACTATTAGGTATAAATGGTGATCAGATATTTTATTAAGGGGTTGTGAGATGGAAGACATAGCAAAAGCAGAAAAGAGATTAAAAAGACGTGGCCAGTAGGAAAGCAATTTTTGCACTTACCAAAGTTGGCCTAGTGTCAGTCCTGTTTACCTTAAGAAGTTGATTGAGAGAAGCAGAAGTACATGGCACTCTCAATCACCAGGCTCCAAACGCATTTTTGACCCGCATATGAAATAAAATTTCTGTGTATATGTACAGCTGTTATAAATTAACATGGCATACACATGTGACTTTTTTCATAAATTTCTGTTACTCTACTTGATTCTGAGCTTTAAAAATTTTTGCCAATGTTTAGGCTATTTTTTTTTTTTTTTTTTTTCTGTACAAAAGGTTGTCACCTTATTTAACTTGCAAACAAATGCATTTTCCTGATAAGTCCTAAAAATACTGTAAGCTTTAATGTTCATTTTATTGAATTTCCTTGCCTTATGAGAATATTAGAAGAGTAAGTGGGAAAAATACTAGAGTTTAGGACATATCAGGGTATATGCATAAAAAACCAATATCCTGAAACACCTGTTACATCTGGCCCCTGAACAAGGTATATCATTTCCAATGAATTCTGCAATTAGCTGTATGTGTTTAATAAAAGCAGACACAAAATTTTATATCCAAAAATGATCAAGCAAGGTCAATGGTAAAAATGTTAGAAAGTTGCAGCCTTTTTATTTAGTACCCAGAGAATGCCAGTAATTTAACACATCTTGATAATTGTTGCTCACAGAGTTTTGACAAGAACAAAAATAAATATAACTTCTATGCCTTCTTTGGCATGTTGTAAATTCAGAATGATAGCCATTTCTTTAGCAGCATTGTGAGAAAAAAAACATTGTAAAATGCACTACTGGATTTGGTCTTACATGATAAAAAATGTAGTATAATAAATGAAAACTTTAATGTCAAAAAACCCAATGGTTTAAAGAAAACATTAATAAAATAAATGGTAACATAAAATTCATAATATAGTCAGAAAAATAAAATAGTTTTTGAACATTGGGGATTGTTTAACTGCAGCTTTTAAGTACATGTAAATCAAATTTACACACAACTTTTATTTAATGCCATTTCAGTCTTCAGAAATGCAATGAAATGTCAGTGTGTGTGTATATATATAGTGTATATATATACTATATATAGTGTATATATATACTATATATAGTGTATATATATATATACTATATTTAATATCAGAAATGAGTTTAGGAATTCAAAAGTGCTTGGGACGTGTTGGCAAATTAATTTTTTAAAAATGTGGCTATGGCAAACTGTGGTCGCTTCATAAAGCCTATGTAACTCTCCACTACAAACCACTACCAACAGTACTTCCTGTTTTTTTTTTTTTTTTAATCAAACAGAAAAATCACCTTCTCCCTTTTTTGTACTACGGAATTTAATGCAAGATAAATTCTAACTTACAAACCATGCTGGCATTTGGATATTTAAGGTTTCATGTGTAACTTTTTAAATCGCTGTTTCTTTTCTTTTTTTTTTTTTTTTTTGAGACGGAGTTTCACTCTTGTTGCCCAGGCTGGAGTGAAATTGGCGCAATATTGGCTCACTGCAACCTCTGCCTCCTGGGTTCAAATGATTCTCCTGTCTCAGCCTCCCGAGTAGCTGGGATTACAGGCATGCACCACTACCCCCGGCTAATTTTGTATTTTTAGTAGAGACGGGGTTTCTACATGTTGGTCAGGCTAGTCTCACAATTCCTGACCTCAGGTGATCCACCGCCTCAGCCTCCCAAAGTGCTGGGATTACAGGCATGAGCCACTGTGCCCGGCCGGCTGTTTCTTGATAGACTGCTTTCCTGCTGCTAAAAATAATTTTATCATACTAAAAAGCAAACCTACATATTTGTTATAAATGGTAGCAACTTCAGAGAGAATGAATTTGGAAAGAGAAAGAAAATGTACCTGAGCAATATTAGTTCATAGGAAACATAAAAGTAAATAACCTAATCGGTAACATTTTGACAATTTTTAAGAAACGAATGCAGTTAGTACATTCTCTATAATTGTCCACCTAAAATTAGATGCTTAATATCTTTTGAAGAATAAGTTAGTTCCCATAACTAGACAGTTGGAATTACAGCAAAACAGTCATCCACAGAAGCTCTATTGCCCAGCGTTTAGAAATGTGAATACAAAGCAAACCCTAACTTGGCAATTACATATATATATATATATATTTATAAGCATTTAGCTAAAATTTATTTAGTGAATAATTGAAACATAATTTGCCAATATAATGTAAGCTTGGATTTCCATATTCTAAAAGTACTTTTATGTTTTTCTAAATATTTCAAAGAAACTTATGTCTATAATATCTTCAAGTATAGTTCCTTTTTCTCTTATGTATTAGCAACCAAACTTAATTTTAGGTGATCAAGCGTAACATTTTATTCAAAGTATATGATGGAATTCACTATACTGTAAGACTAAAACCAGGAACAGTGCATTCATTATTATATGTTGTGAATAATCACTATCAATGCCACTATATTCCCACATAAAAAGGCAAATAGCCCACTATGGATTTATTCTGCTAATTTCAACAATCATTGATCTTGAGGTACATGCCAAAAATGCCTGAATAAGCTTTGAAATATAAAACAAAAATGTTTTGAATTAGTTTAATTGCAGTTGGCCAATATATATTTAATATGGTTTGCATTTTTATTTTGAAATAGTATTGTGACTTAAAGGATTTCTAGGTCCTAAAATCTGGAAAAGGGATCTAGAAAAATTTGGACTCCATGATTAATTTGGATTCAATCTTTCTGTGCTTTTTTTTTTTTTTTTTCTTTATAACAGGAATGGGATGGCAGTTGGGGGGAATAAAACTTCTTATGCTATATAGGTCATGTACTGTGAGAAATAACACAAAACTATGGGTTTAAAAACAACATATGCAGAAATAACCGCCAATCTCTGTCTACCTCCACATCACTTTATCATAGAAGTTCATTAATTGTGATTAAAAAGCTTAAAAGATTTTAAGAGAAAAGGTAGATTGAGAAGTAGAAAGGAAGTAGGAAGGAAATTGTGCAAAAAAAGAAACAGTTTATTAGATACTCTGACCCTGGGACACACTGTTCCTTTCCCCAAAAATATCTTCCCTGATAAGAACTGAATTTAAAATTATTCTCACCTTGTTAGATTGCCTGAAGATCCAGAAACTAGAAACTTGATTAATGCACAACTTCCTTAAAAATGCCAATTAACTATTAGCCACTGACAGAAAAATGTAAATTAATTTAATAGGATAGTTTTCCTTTCAACTTTTTAGCTGGAAATATCTGTTCTGAGAGAATGGATATCCTGATTTGGGGAAGAGGAAGAGGAAGGAACAAGGAGTAATGACCACAACCACACAGAATCTTTCTGGGGATAGGGTAAACTTCATTGATGGAGTATTGCTGTGAGGTGCTCAAGGAGGATAGATAGCATGAAGGGGCTGGAAAGCCAGCAGAAAGAGAATGTACAGAATACCACAAATATGCTTTGCCTACTTTAAAGCCTAAGTTTTCTCGTGGGCCTTCGGGTCAATATAAATGGTTGTTTTCCTTCTTCATATATGAAAGACTTCTATCTAGAAAATACTAGTCAATCTGTATGCAAGTTTCTCTGGGCACTACTATTTTAACATGTTGTTCCAATGGGCAGACATTATAAATACCAAGCATCTGTTCTTAAGGTTGTGGGTTGCCTAAACATATGGAATCCCTTTGAGCCAAACAGAGGTGCTATCAAAATTGCTTTATTGTGTTGAATTACCAATGACAATAAATTACAAAAAACAATGTTTAGACATTGCTGAGTCTAACAAAATAGGCTGAAGTTTGATCTTTGTGAAAGGACTTGAAACCATTTTTTTTTCCCCCACAAAAATCCCCATCACCAGCACTGCATTCTAATTTTCTTGAAAATTGTTTCCTGAGTTTATTCCTGGTAGTATGTGCTTAAGGACAACAGGTTGTTAGTCTATTTGAGCAAACCTGATGTTTTCTCTAAGAAAAACAAAATTCAATATCCTCCCCCTTCAAGAACAATAAAACCCCAAACTGTGCTATCATTAAATACTACCAAAAACCATTAACTAGAAAAACACAATGCAAAATAATTATTCAAGAACCCATTAGAAACCACAGTATCCTAAAGTCTTATAGAAAAGATGTGTTTTTACTAGTTAAGCATTGATAGAAGGCCCATCAAAAAATGTTCAAATCTGAGTTCTAGCCAAACTGGACAGGATTAGGCATCCTTACCTGGGCTCCTTCTACAAAATTGCAGTATATTTTGAAGCTTCCCCATATAATAAGGTTTCCCCCACTACTGTTGTTAAGCTAGCATATTTGAGTTTTTCAGTAGAAAACCCTCAAACAATTATCGGGTACATCCAGTAGCATACCTGTGTCTTTTATACACTGTCGATCCTCACTGGGTGATCAGAAATCATGCTGTTCATTGTTTAATTCTTATAGTGTTCCTTTTATGATAGGACTGTATGGCATGATCTTTCTGAGCAAGCTAATTTAAATTAATTAAGACTGTCTACTTTTTAAAGCCACTGATTATAGAAAACCTGGAAGTTATTTTGTAATCATTTTTCATTTTCCAATTTCACTTCCCCTAATTTTATTACTTAAAATACATCGATGGAAATAGTAGCTCTGTCCTGAAAACTTCAACACCAAATTCACACCTCTGAGTTTGACATATCAATTCTGATAGGAAGAAGGTATAACAGCACAAGATAATGACAGAAGGAAAATAAGTCAGAATATATACATACAAACTGTTACATGCAAGTACATATAGTAATAAAGCAAATGAGAAAAAAAAAAGCCAAATGGAACATAAAAAGCCAGAAGACATGATACCTACTTCTAAGTAATTATTTTTCATGTGGCATAAATTGTTCTTTAATCTCTTTCAATTATTTCCAAAAGATACCTCAAAATAAGAATACATACTTTTATATATCACACCCAGGAAAAAGATCTTTGTGCATGGGGTATAGATTATTTACATTACAAAGAGAATATGTATAGTTTCTTTTATTAAATACCAAAGTTACAAGTTTCCTAGTCTAAATTGTATAATTCAGCACTCAGTAATCAACTTTCTCTCTGAATGAAGCAAAGTAAAATATGTAGCAAACAGTACACCTAACACGCACAAGTAGTTCACTTATATTCACTAAAGAAAACTGTGATATCCTCCAGTTTACATTCATGAATTCTTTCTGTCAGCAGTAGTAGTAGTAGTAGTAGTAGTAGTAGTAGTAGTAGTAGTAGTAGTAGTTGCTGCTGCTGTTGTTGTAGTAATGGTATTTTCTTCAACAATGTGAAATTATTCTTTAGCATTTCATCATTTAGAGAAAAGAATACATACTACACAGTGGTTCTGAATTATACATTAAATAAGACCAATTTGGCCAGTTTTTTTTATAAATATGATTTTGAAATGTGCTCAAATTTTATGTAGACCATTAATATTATTCATATTTAAAATGTTAGTTTATCTTTATGAAGTAAAATGATTAAGTAGCATTGTCTAAAGTTTACTGTAATACAATATACTATATCATGTGTGCTATATGCACAAGTCCACTACAGTAAGATGTCAACTGTATTATCATAGGATTCAAGGTAGAATAATATGCTACACTGTACTTCAAAGCACATCGAAGTCAGAAAAACAACAGTGTAGTTCATTTATAAAGGGGATAGATGATGATTAAATCCAATTGGTTAACTTGAAAGTCGGTTTATATAACACCAGGATAGTGTCAACACCACATACTTTATTTTCAAAGGCTTAACTATGACCTATTTATAAGATTACACCAACAGTATAAAGCCTTTGGGAAAAAAAAAAAAGCTTCACTTGTACTAAATTTCCATGTGATGTAAAATTTACAGAAGCTTTATAAAAACCTTTATTTCTAAATGAGGCCACTTATGGATAATATACAGATCTGCCTGCACACATTATCTGAGATGTAATTCTTCTATAAAAACTTTGGCACCAACTATATCAAGAATTCATATATTAGCACAAATGTATTTTGCTCTGGCACCAAACCACTATGTTTACATTTTAGTACAGTGAGTCAAATGAATGGAGTCCTTTGGTTTTACAGAATAACTAGCTTTTATAATATGTTTTTATTGTTTTTCTTTTTTTAAAAAAGTCTATCCTTCAGGATCTGATGTTAAAAAATACTAACATTGCTTGTCATTATACTACTATATATATATACTGATTGTTGGTAATGACGTCCCAAACCATAATTGTATGAAACAAGAAAAAAATATTAAAGTAACTTTATTTGAAAGGAATTTTAGAAGCTAGTGTGCAGAGAAGTTGTGAGGACCTGGTGGACACCAATTATATGCTTAAATAAACACTTGAACACTACTGCAAACACATAGTATGAATATTGTGGACCTGTGCATGGTTTTTTAAATCTCACTTCCCCTAAAAATGGGGATTTAATATTACTTAATATTCAAGTAATTAAGCAGAAAACGATGCCTTTGATAAGATTAGGAAAAAAGCCACACATTTAATTTCATCTTCATCCAGTTTGGCCTAGGAACACCACAAATCTTACAGGCCAGTTGATGTTCGCTTTTTCATGCTCCGTCGCTGGGCTAAGCTTGAAGCAGCTACAGGCTCTAGGACTGGTTGAAAGGTCTTGTGAGTCAGGGCAGAGTATGTTGCAACCATTGCTCCCTAAAGTAATGAGAAAATGTCACAAACTAAGTACAAATTCTGGAGTTAAAAAAAAAAAAAAAATTCACATGATACTATGAGACATACATCTAGAACAAAATGTCTTTTCCTAGGAAAATAATTGAATATATTAGATCTGTGCACTGATGAATCAATATTACTTGTATGTTTTTCATTTCAATAACTATGCATTTTACAAAAAATTGTTAAAACACTAATATTTAAAACCTCGGTTCAATGTATATGGATATAGGAATGGTTTCACGCACAGTTATAAATTAAGAACTAACAGCAATCTTTTGTTTCAATATGAAACTTGCATTTAGCCCAATCCTAATTCCAGCATCTCTCAAAAGCAAGGCGGGTACAATCAAGAAATTTTTATTGTTTCATCTGAAAGGCAGTGGTAAAGTAAGCTAAGAAAAGCACATGGTTGTTAATATAAAAAAATCTATCTTTAAAAAATAAAGATATTTTAAGGAATTATTTAAGTGTCATTAGCAAGTGGCACACAATGGGTTTATTACGTATCTGATATTTTGAAGGCACATAAAAGTATGTTTGTTTTACCTTAACAACATGTGACACATCATTTCTCTTTGGCTGATCATTTGGCAACTGGTCTCTGTGAGTTATCCATGAGTGCTTTAATATTTGTTCAGTAGTATACCGCTGACGTGGGTCCATATGAAGCATATGGGAAAGCAAATCCTAAATTAAAATTTAAAAAGTGTGTGTGTATATATACACACACACACACACACATACATTCATACATATAATTTTACATTTACTGAAAATGTGACAGCATCAATAGCCTTGCAATCTATTTATTTTACCTACATTTATGCAAAGTAAAATCTATACTCTACACAAGAGAATCTTGAGAGAGATTTTTCAATATATATTAAATCCCTATACAACACTTTTAAATTGGAAGATGCCAAATCTGTGGAATTAGATGTGTGATTAATGAGGGAGGAGGAAAATGTAAAATGGCAGAAGTTATCCTGGAATATGCTAAATGTTCAGCAGGAGACAGGAGCTACTGAACTTTGCTGTTAAGCTGGGCCCCAAGGTGTAAGGGTATGTGTACACAGATAAAACATAGAAGGGAGGGCCCCATGTAGTTAATCCATTCAATAAATGGTGGCTTACTATATAACATATTAAGAAAGCAAACCATAAATCCAATGTTAGCAACTGGCTTCTATCATAGCAGTGCTCAGAGCATTGTAAGTTTTTCATCAGAGTAAGTGTGAGTTTGCTTATGTTATCTCTGTTGTAACAAAAAAAGTTGTAAATTTAATACAACCACACAGGAAAAGTTTTCAGTATATTAAGAGATGTAATACTTTTAAGTAAACTGTCTCTCCGAAGTATCTTTTAGAGAAATGAGAAGTAAACTCCTTAAGAAGCATTTTCGGAGAATCTGGCAAGATGGCCAAATAACAGCTCTGGTCTGCAGCTCCCAGCGAGACTAACGCAGAAGGTGGGTGATTTTTCCATTTACAACTGAGGTACCCAGTTCATCTCATTGGGACTGGTTAGCCAGTGGGTCCAACCCACAGAGGGTGAGCAGAAGTAGGGTGGCGCATCGCCCCACACGAGAAATGCAAGGAGCCAGGGGACCTCTCTCCCTTAGCCAAGCAAAGCCTTGAAGGACTGTGCTACCCAGCCCAGATACTACGCTTTTCCCACGGTTTTTGCAATCCACAAATCAGGAGATTTTCTAGTGTGCCTACACCACCAGGGCCCTGGGTTTCAAGGACAATACGGGGCAACTGTTTGGGCAAACACTGAGCTAGCTGCATTTTTTTTTCATACCCCAGTAGTGCCTGGAATCCCAGCAAGACAGAACCATTCACTCCTCTGGAAATGGGGCTGAAGCCAGGGAGCCAAGTGGTCTCGCTCAGTGGGTCCCACTCCCACGGAGCCCAGCAAGCTAAGAACCATTGGCTTGACATTCTTACTGCCAGCACAGCAGTCTGAAGTCAAACTGGGACAACTGAATTTGGTGGGGGGAGGGGTGTCCACCATTACTGAGGCTTGAGTAGGCGGTTTTCCCCTGACAATGCTAAGGGGGCCAAGAGGTTTGGACCGGGCAGAATTCACCACAGCGCAGCAAAGCGGCTGTGACCAGATTGCCTCTCTAAATTCCTTCTCTCTGGGCAGGGCATCTCTGAAAGGCAGCAGCCCCAGTCAGGGGCTTATAAATAAAATCCCCTTTTCCCTGGGACAGAGCACCCGGGGGAAGGGGCAACTGTGGGTGCAGCTTCAGCAGACTTAAACTTTCCTGCCCCCCGGCTCTGAAGAGAGCAGCTGATCCTGACAAGGAGGATTCTCCCAGCACAGCGCTCTAGCTCTGCTAAGGGACAGACTGCCTCCTAAAGTGGGTCCCTGACCCCTGTGCCTCCTGACTGGGAGAGACCTCCCAACAGGGGATCAACAGACACATCATACAGGAGAGCACCAGCTGGCGTCAGGCTGGTGCCACTCTGGGACGAAGCTTCCAGAGGAAGGAGTAGGAAGCAATCTTTGCTGTTCTGCAGCCTCCACTGGTGATACCCAGGTGAACAGGGGATGGAGTGGACCTCCAGAAAGCTGCAGCAGACTTGCAGAGGAGGGGCCAGACTGTTAGAAGAAAAACTAACAAACAGAAAGCAACAACATCAACATCAACAAAAAGAACCTCCACACAAAAACTCCATTCAAAAGTCATTAGCCTCAAACATCAAAGACAGAAAAATCCACAAAAATGAGGAAAAAACAGCACAAAAACGCTGAAAATTCCAAAAAACAGAATTCCTATTTTCCTCCAAATGACCACAACTCCTCTCCAGCAAGGGCATAAAACTGGACAGAGAATGATACTGATGAATTGACAGAAGTAGGCTTCAGAAGGTGGGTGGTAATAAACGCCTCTGAACTAAAGGAGCATGTTCTAACACAATCCCAGCAAGGTAAGAAACTTGATAAAAGGTTACAGGAACTGCTAACTAGAATAATCAGTTTAGAGAGGAACGTAAATGACCTGATGGAGCTGAAAAACAGCATGAGAACTTCGTGAAGCATTCACAAGTATGGATAGTTGAATGGATCTAGTTGAATCGATCAAGTGGAAGAAATGATATCAGAGATTGAAAATCAAATTAATGAAACAAAACGTGAAGATTAGAGAAAAATAATTAAAAGGAACGAACAAAACCTCCAACAAATATGAGACTATGTGAAAAGACCAAATCTACGATTGACTGATGTACCTGAAAGTAATGGTGGGGAGAATGGAACCAAGTTGGAAAACACAATTCAGGATATCATCAAGGAGAACTTCCCCAACCTAGCGAGACAGGCCAACATTCAAATTCAGGAAATACAGAGAACACCACTAAGATACTCCTTGAGAAGAGCAATCCCAGGACACATAATCATCAGCTACTCCAAGTTTGAAACAAAGGAAAAAATGTTAAGGGTAGCCCGAGAGAAAGGTCGGGTTAACCTACAAAGGGAAGCTCATCAGACTAACAGTAGATCTCTCTGCAGAAACCCTACAAGCCTGAAGACAGTGAGGGCCAATATTCAACATTCTTAAAGAAAAGAATTTTAAACCCAAAATTTCATATACAGTCAAACTAAGCTTCATAAGCAAAGGAGAAATAAAATCCCTTTCAGACAAGCAAATGCTATGAGATTTTGTCACCACCAGGTTTGCTTAAAAGAGTTCCTGAAGGAAGCATTAAATATGGAAAGGAAAAACTGGTACCAGCCACTGCAAAAACACACCAAAATATAAAGACCAATGACAATATGAGGAAACTGCAACAACTAATGTATAAAATAACCAGCTGGCATCATGATGACAGGATCAAATTCACACATAACAATATTAATCTTTAATGTAAATGGGCTAAATGCTTTCCATAAACAGAACCAATGACAAAAAGCACGATTATCTCAATAGATGCAAAAAAGGCCTTCAATAAAATTCAACACCACTTCATGCTAAAAACTCTCAATAAATTAAGTATTGATGAAACATACCTCGAAATAGTAAGAGCTATTTATGACAAAACGCATAGCCAATATCATATTGAATGGGAAAAAGCTGGAAGCATTCCCACTGAATACCGACACAAGACAAGGATGCCCTCTCTCACCATTCCTATTCAACATAGTATTGGACGTTCCGGCCAGGGAAATCAGGCAAGAAAAAGAAATAAAGGTATTCAAATAGGAAGAGAGGAAGTCAAATTGTCTCTGTTCACAAATCACATAATTGTATATTTAGAAAACCCCATCGTCTCTGCCTAAAAACTCTTTAAGCTGATAAGCAACTTCAGCAAAGTCTCAGGCTACAAAATCAATGTGCAAAACCCACAAACATTCTTATACACCAATAATAGACAAGCAGAGAGCCAAATCATAAGTAAACTCCCATTCACAATTGCTATAAAGTGAATTGCTATAAAAGGAATACAACTTACAAGGGATATGAAGGACCTCTTCAAGGAGAACCACAAACCACTGCTCAAAGAAATAAGAGAGGACACAAATGGAAAAACATTCCATGCTCATGGATAGGAAGAATCAATATCGTGAAAATGGCCATAGTGCCCAAAGTAATTTATACATTCAATGCGATCCCCATCAAGCTACCACTGACTTTCTTTGCAGAATTAGAAAATACTAATTTAAGTTTCATATGGAACCAAAAAAGAGCCCCTATAGCCAAAACAATCCTAAGCAAAAAGAATAAATCTGGAGGCATCAGGCTACTTGATTTCAAACTATACTACAAGGCTACAGTAACCAAAACAGCATGTTGCTGGTACCAAAACAGATATACAGACCAATGGAACAGAACAGAGACCTCAGAAATAACACCAAACATCTACAACCATTTGATTTTTGACAAACCTGACAAAAATAAGCAATGGGAAAAGGAATCCCTATTTAACAAATGGTGCTGGGAAAACTGGCTAGCCATATTTAGAAAACAGAAATTGGACCCCTTCCTTATACCTTATATAAAAATTAACTCAAGATGGATTAAAGACTTAAATATAAAACCTAAAACCATAAAAGCCCTACAAGAAAACCTGGGTTATACCATTAAGGACACAGGCATGGGCAAAGACTTTATGACTAAAACACCAAAAGTACTTGCAACAGAAGCCAAATTTGAAAAATGGGATGTAATTAAACTAAAGAGCTTTTGCACAGCAAAAGAAACTATCATCGGCATGAACAGGCAACCTACAGAAGGGGCTAAAATTTTTGCCATCTATCCATCTGACAAAGGTCTAATATCCACAATCTACAAGAAACTTAAACAAATTTAGAAGAAGAAAACAACCCCATCAAAAAGTGGGCAAAGGATATGAACAGACACTTCTCAAAAGAAGACATTTATGTGGCCAAAAACATATGAAAAAAAGCTCACCATCACTGGTCATTAGAGAAATGCAAATTGAAACCACAATGAGATACCATCTCATGCCAGTTAAGAGTGGCAGTCATTAAAAAGTCAGGAAACAACAGATGCTGGCGAGGATGTGGAGAAACAGGAATGCTTTTACACTGTTGGTGGGAGTGTAAATTAGTTCAACCATTGTGGAAGACAGTGTGGCAATTCCTCAAGGATCTAGAACCAGAAATACCATTTGACCAAGCAATCCCATTACTGGGTATATACCCAAAGATTATAAATA